AGCCACCACTTGCGGAGCCCCGCCTACAGCGTCAGCACCATCGAGCCCCGGGAGGACCTTCTATCGCCGGTGCAGGACGCCGACCGCTTTTACAGGGGCATTTTAGAACCAGACAAACACTGCTCCACCACGCCCGCCGGCAGTAGCCTCCCCGAATACCCCAAATTTCCGTGCAGCCCCGCTGCTTACACTTTCTCCCCCAACTATGACCTGAGACGCCCCCATCAGTATCTGCACCCGGGGGCTGGGGACAGCAGGCTGCGGGAACCGGTGCTCTACAGCCCCCCGAGTGCTGTCTTTGTAGAACCCAACCGGAACGAGTATCTGGAGTTAAAAGCAAAACTAAACGTTGAGCCGGACTACCTCGAAGTGCTGGAAAAACAGACCACATTTAGCCAGTTCTAAAAGCAAAGAAACTCCCCTGGAGCTTTTGCGTTTAAAGCAAGCAAGCGAGCAGACACACGCGGTGAACACATTTGATTGTGTCATTTCAACGTTTAGGGTGAAGTGCCTTGGCACGGGATTCTCAGCTTCGGCGGAATATACTGAAAGGGTGTGCGATTTCCTTTTAATTTTACGCGGGGGAAATATTTGTGTAAACTGGGCACATCACTTTCTCTTCTTGTGTGTGGGGGAGGAGAGGAGAAGGGCTTTACAGAGGGCGATTCGCTGAGGGTGACTTGCTAAAGGTCACAGTCGTTTCTGTAGTGGTTGGAAGTGCTAAGAGTGGTGGAAAACGTCAACGCGCAGATTCTACTCTTCCTCTTATCCCCCCTGCCCCCTTCTCCCTCTTGAAGCCATGAGTAGGTCTAAATGGCTTTGGTGGAGAGGTTAGCACATCCCAATTGAAATAGGAAGTTTGATCTCTCTCTCTCTCCCTCCTCCCCTCCTTTCCCACCTTCCTTCTTATTCCTTTCCTTTGTTTTTAAAGGATGTGTTTGTATGCATTCTGGACGTCTGAATTAAAAAAACAAAAGTATTGTGATCCAGAAAGGATCACTAGAGATGTGGACAAATCATTAAAATTACAGAGCTATATGATCCATAATTGATTAGTCAAAATAACTTATTGATGAAATATACAAATATTTTATTGTAGCACCTATTTTTATATGCACATTTAGCATTCCTCTTTCCTTCACTACTTAGCCTATGATTTTCGCAGAGGTGTCACATTGTATTAAGAGCTGCGTTTCCAAAACTGAAGTGATCATCAAGGAGGCATTTTAGATCATTAAAAATATGGAGCAGTTAATGGCAAAAATCTTTAAAAGCCAATGCAACCCACCCAATTGAAACTGTATTTTTTTATACTGATTGTATCCCACTGCATAAAAGAAAAAAGTTAGGGTGACCGATTGGGCCATTCAAGAGAACTGTGTGCAAGTTTTTGGTTTTATTAGAGAAGATTTAAAAGTATTTTTATTAGCGAACCAAAACTGTGTATTGATTTGACTACTATTGTAGCCAATTTTCAATTGTTTAACCAAACCCCCTTACATTTGTACAGATCCACATGTACTGGCACCTCAGAAGACCAAAAGATGGACTGTACAAGTCTTACACAATGTCTTTATGCCTTTGAGCAGCAAGCAATGATAATGATGAACAGGACCTCTGTATGATGGGGCTACTGTTGTTACAGTCTCATATGTATCCCAGCACATGTAATTTTTTAAATAGTTTCTGAATAAACACTTGATAACTATGTCAAATATGAGGGATTGAAGTAATTACTCGAGGTGCACAAGTCTTAGCTCTGTGTGATTGGTGAAATCTTCATAATTACAATTTAAGATACGCTAGATAAACTTCATTCCTACTAGAAAAAGTTTTTCTGTGAATTATAACAATTTCAAAATATACATATATAATTAATGTTTTTCTTGGTTCAGGGAAATATGTTTATCTGCTGCCACTAAATGTGTTTATTAATGATATTTCAATTGATTACATTATTTCCTTATGGAAGTATTCATCCAATACAAGGAGTGTGGTAAGTAATATATTCCATATTCACTTTCTCTCAATATCTTGCATTTTGTCATCTTAGCAGTATTCAGTTTAATTTTTCCAAATAATTTCCATATTTTAAACTACACAAACATAACTAACATCATTATGGTGGATACTTTACCTAAAGTTGATCAGTGTCCTAAATATTCAAAACGTAAGTTAGCATGAGCAGTTTACCTCCAAGTAAGTTTTATCAGTGAATGTAGGTGAATATTTAAGGGTAGGAAGTGTTTAAATTATTCTGAAATGTAAAGAGCCACGCGCTTTATTTCTTTTGGTGGATATTCCCATAGTATCACCTGGAATATGTACAATATCAAAGGTTGTTTATGAACTTCATGTTTAAGAAACAATTGTCATGGCATTCTGCCACATAGAGGCAGCATTCACCCATGAGTAAACTGACAGTAGCTACTTGAATTCAGATTGAACTAGTGGTAACAGTCCCCCTGAATAATTTTTTTTTTTGATGTAATGGTATGCCGAACAAGTTCAGTAAGCTATCCATATTCTTCATAGCATTTTCTACCAGTTCTTTTTTCAAAGGAGACAGTACTAAGCTTAATTAATGCTATGGTATTATGAGAATACAAATGTATCTCTTGCTCTTCATCTACCTCCTCTTTATTAGGTCCAGGATTAGAAAAAAACAAAAAAACAAAAAAAACTAGAATCTGACTTTGCCTTTGGGTTTATTACTAATTTTTCTTTTCATTGGTGATTATTATTTTCTTTGTAAAATGTTTACCACTTTAACGTTGTTGTATAAAGATGTAACAATATTTTATAAGCTCTAAAATATTAATGCAATGTTGACTCTTCCATGTAACTAAACTTTATTTCTTAATGCATACTACGAAAAGGTAAGAATTACTCAGAATTAAAGATGTATTTCTAGATAATACAAATAATATCCAAAGATAGTTTGTCAATGTATTTTTCAAAGATTTACACAATGTTCTGTATTTTCAAAGCAGTAGTACTTCATGTAATCTTTCTATATAATATCACTAGGTGCCCCATTGCTATCTTTACTGCTCCTTTATGTCCAACTCTTTTGAAGATAAGGAACAACATTTATATAATTTATCAACAAAGGTTGCTTTTAATTTTGAAATTTCCCAACCATATTAAAAGGTAAATGTAAACTCATTGTGGCTCTTATAAATTTGAAAAGTTTTTGCCACATCAGAGTCGTAAAACTGTATAGAATGAAAAGCTGAACCATTGTTCCCCTCCTAAATGGTTTCCTTTCAATACATTAACACATATAGTAGAATCCTGTTTGTGTGCTTATGAATACCTTATTTGTGATTATTTGGGTTGTTGATTAAATAAACAATTAGACTGACCATGTCAGCAGTATATGGATGGATTAAGGGAACCTGCAAATTCTGGGGCACAGCAAATTCAGTGTTTCAGGCATTAATTACAATTGAAGTGCAAACTAAAGTTAATCTTTGTGCTAGATTCTTTGTTCCCTAGTCTCGTTTAAATATACCTCAGGGTAACACAAAATATTTTAATTTCAGTATGGCTGTAGTCTGAATGCTGAAATTATCTTCTATATATTAAATATATGTCATACTTTAGATGTAGGCAATTAGTATACCTATATACAACATTATTTCAACTACATGATCAATTCAAGTTACGAGTTATGTACCATATTTGAACACATTTTTTTTGTTTAGGTGAAGCTATCAACTTCACAAATGTAAAGTAGAAAATTTTGGTAAGTATCTCATACATGCAAATTTCTCCTTTACAGCTCTTCTGTCCTAGCGTGAAAAATCAAACTATTGTGTGAAAATATATAAGCATAATATGAAAAAGGATGTCAAATTGGTCTTTAGTTTCTTATCTTATACATTAATGCCATTCTTGCTACTAGGTTATATTTTTGGAAAATGATTTAAATTAACATGTTTGATTTTCTTTTACTGTGCTGTTATTTCTCTCTGCCTCCCTCATTCTTTCTCTAGTGTTATTTAATCACAATTTCTAAATGGCACAAAGAAAACAGTGAGAATAGTTCAGGCCTTGTTTGAAATGCCAAAAACTGGCTTTTTAACTTCTAGAGCTCAATGGATTCTTCCTCAAATCACATGACTCCACTTTAACAAAAGTGAAATGAAGCATATCACAAATATGCTTTCAACTCAGTTGAATATATGCTCTTACTGTACTTTTTAGATGGCTCCAATTTAAGATATTTGGAGGCCTTTCAAACTTTTTGTTCTGATTACTTTTAAGGCTAAGTTTTATCATGGCAGGAACTAGCCACAGCATAAGAACTACTTGAAACACTTAAACACAAGCAATGTTTATTGAACTGACTTTGAAAGGGAATAAAATATTATACAAGTGGTTACACTAAATTGTCTGATTAACTCAAATTTATGGATAGTGTTCTATAAACCCTTTGACAAATACAAATATTTGACAATAAAATTAAAATAGTCCTGTGCCTAAAAAACTTGTCATCAGCCTAAAAAATCTAAAAGCTATGTCCAACTAAACTTTATAGTCATTAGTATTGGATTTGGTAGTTGGACATCTTTATGATTAATTCATAATCAATGTCATATCTTTCTGGAGCTGCAGTGCCCATATGGATTTCCATCAGTATATGCAACATATTTGTGTTATAGAAAACAAATGGATTATGATACATTACATATGTCTTTTTCATCCAGGTTTGGTTATTTTTCATATTTAAAGAATTTCAAATTATACTTTAGGCTTCCTCTTTTAAGAATGTTAGATGTGAAAAAAAAAGAATTTGGTACAGTGTGTTTAAGACAATAATGTAGTACTTTTTTGTCCCTGTTTTTAGAACATTTGACTTATTACACGGGTCGAATACTTCTAATGGTAATTAAAACCAATAATTCTTATATGGATTTAAAAACAAGAGTATGTACATCTAATTAAGCTTGAATTTTTTTCCAGAAATGTTGATGATTGAAATAAAAATATTACATATAGAATTGCTATAGTGAAAGCTGGGTGTGGTGGCTGGTACATGCCTGTAATCCTGGCCCTTGGACAGCTAAGACAAGAGGATCACTGCAAGTTCAAGGCCAGTCTGGGCTACATAATGAGTTCAAAGTGAGCCTGAACTCCTGAACTACATAGCAAGACCCTGTCTCCAAAAAAAAAAAAAAAAAAAAAAAAAAA